AAAGCTGTCTATGTCAAATTCTTGTCTGTTCCTTTGTCAGCTGCCCCACACACGACGTACAGAATCTATACTTTAGAATGAAAGTTAAAAAACACCTTGCTTATAGTAAGGGCAGTAGTACCAACTCCTGTATAAGGAGACACCCCATTTGATTATGATTATAAATTAACATTTTCTTCCTACTGGCTTCGAAGCAGTTTTTTGTAACACCAAGCAAGACACTCTAGGCTTGGTTTTCTGCTTTAATGGGTGGGGCTGGGAATACTGTAGAGGTAGTTCACTAATTCTCTTGTCATAATATAGTAAGCTCCCTCATTAGCTAGTATCTCAGTTCAGCAATACCAGTTAGAAGAGACTTGCTAAAGCAGATATACTTGGGAGAGGGAAGATTATTTAACATGGGGGAGGAATCTATTTGTTGTGAAGATGTTTGACATGAAACCTTTCCCTTCAATTTATGTCATGATCAGTGAGGTTGCTCTAGACTATGAAGAGTTGTACAATGTGAGTTAGAGCAGCTGCTCATGGGTGGGGTTTAATAAACCCTGAGGTGGACAATAGACACCCCCCCCCACGAAAATTAAAATTACTACCAGGCAAGTCAAAATATTTAAAAACTTTGACACTGGTCAAGGTGAAAACTCATTATGCAAGTCATATTGGGAATGCCTGACTGCTGAGGACAAGATAAATCTTTAGCATTTTTTAAATTTACACTATTTTGTTTCCCTTAAGAATTCCAAGAGCTTTCAAGATTTTGAAAGCATTAACATCTAAATTTCTAAATGCAGAGTCAGCAAGTAATAGACAATTTAAAAATGACAAAAAAGATTACTGACCAAGTGCTACACTAGAGTTGCCCTGAGTTGTGAGTTTGGAAGAAGTCTGCATGCCTTGTGGGGTGTTGGTTCTGCTATCATCCAGGCCTAAAGACAAATCCTTCCTAGGAATTTTAGCTGCTGTTGTGTCGTCTGCCATGCCCATCTGCTTCTGCCGTCTACGTTTCTTACTCCACAGTTCATGACAATCTTGCCACAAAGGAAGGCTGTAAAGAAGAATGGTAAATATTCAGTATTTTCTTTGTACAAAATATTAAAATAAATGCTCAATATACAACGTAAGATCTGAAAAGGTGAGTCTGTTGGGATTCTGTGAATCCATACTCATAACAAGTGTGTAATGCAAGTATAATCTCAGAAGAGCTTCCTAGCTGAAAATGTTTATCAGTTGGCTTCATTTCATAAACAAGTGTCCTCATGGCAGAACAAAATGTATATTTATTTTCTCAACGTGACAATGCTGTCTACTTGGATTGACAGAGTTTACAAAAAGGAAAGGTGCTCTAGTATAAGAACTCAGCAACCTGCAATCCTCTAAACAGTAATCCAGAACTTTTGCATTAAAATAGGGGAATAAATGTTTTTGTTTTTTACCCTTGTTGTTTGGAGACATTCATTCTTCTAAATACACTTGCAGGTCACTAACTCTAAGAAAGATGTACAGAACGTTTGACTAACAAATCAAACATGGAACTAGGGAACAGTTCTCATTCATTAGTACGAGCCACTGAACTTTGCAGTTCTCTTAATGGAACGGTTACTAATATCTGACACATTAGGTATTATGTTTGTACTACCTTTGTTTTCACCACTACACAATGAACATTAAATACATACTCCCATTTTGTATCACGTAAGCACTGACATTACCACAGGAAGTAACTTACTCTGGAGGAGGCATTTTAGAAGGTTCCACATCTCGCAGAAACTCACACTGAAGAGCCTGTTCAGCTGTGCAACGCTTGCTAGGGTCCAAAGCAAGCATATAATCAAACAGATCTAACGCAGCTGGTGGAATACTGGCAAGAAGGAGAGAGAAATGGGGGGGTCCACATTTGTGTTATTTCAGATGCCACATCTTTGTGCTATAAAACTTGTATTTTTTAATGTTGTCAAGTAGAGTTTAATTGTATGATTTAAAACTTGGGCCTTATATTAATACATTTGTTTTAAACGTTTTCCTTTTAACAAGGGTCTAATATTACTATATACTTGGAATTTAGCACAAAGAGATTTATACTTTTTAATTGGGCTACAGACAATAATGCTATTGCTTTAAAGTTACACAAGTAGGTTCCACTAATATAAACAGGATGATACATTTTCCTAAACCCCAAAATAGTTGAAGGAGAAAAGGCAGTTTTTAAAATAATCTTACAGATGTTTTCCGTAACTTTCATGTTTGTTATTTGCATGAGACAACTCCAGTGGCATTATTTTAGGATACATGGCTTGGAGAATTAGTCTTATATACTGAATTTATGACTAACAAGTCCCTAATGTTAGCCAATCATAATTAAAAGTGACTAAGTATCCTGAGCTGCTTTTAGCCATAGGGACAATGAGCAGGTGCACCCAGGCCCAAAGAGCAACCATTTCCGAAGTACAAAGCTGACAGGTGGCTGAAATATTTGGGTCAATTCCCCCTTCCTTGATACATATACACAGCTCCCATTAACTAACAACAATAATAGCTCGGCATGTGTATCAAGGGAAGGATAGGAACTTCAGGTCACTTCTCTCTACATTTGACTGAACCCAGAAACAAATCTTTGAAAAATACTGAAATTCTTAAAGGACCTAAGAAAAATTAATGGAATACAGATGGTTAAATGAAGTCTCCATCCTTACAAAGCAAACTCTTCTCTCAATTTTCGACGATACTGCTTCTTTGGTTTCATGGTGTTGAAATAGGCTAACTTTATTACATCAGGCCAGACTGCAGGACAAGGACTCCCACAAATTCGGCTATACACCAAAAACAAACAAACAAAACAAAACAAAACCATCAATGTATGAAATCAAACACAACAAAGTGTGTAGTTGCAATTTTATACTCACAGGCATTGTTAATACAAAGAAAACAAATTCTAGTCTCCTTGGACATATTCACAGGCCTCCTGTGATCCATGGCCATGAAGTTTTTCAAGAGTTGGCGAAGAAGCGTAGGTAAACATCCACTCTTAAGAGGCCAAAGAATACCGCACTAGAAAAACGGTTACCTCCCCCACACTTCTCCAAAGTAGAGGCTCTTTATAAACAATCACTGTGTTCTTGAAAATGATAGAAGACTCCACTTAGCATGCTCAGGTAGCATCCTATGTACCCTAACGCAAGGTCAGTTTCTTCCAGAAACTAGAATTTCTCTCTAGACAGGAGAGAAATTTAAAGGGCAGGAGTGAATTTGGATTAAATTTAAATCTAGTACGTTTCTTCGTTTTTTTTTTTTTTTTTACTCTTGGTGTGGAAATGAACTCTGACAAATGACTGGAGTAAACACCACTCCATTGCCGACTAAGAATTTAGTTATCTGCTAATGAACAGGAAGGAGCCTTGTGAGGACCAAAGGTGGTGGCAGAGGTGAGATGGTTTTTAAATTTAAGAAAGGACCGGGGCTTGAATTAAAAAAATTAAAACCATCTTTTGGCCAAAGAAAAGGGTCACTGAGCCAGCCCACCTCCCGACATGTGGTTGCCCAAGTCTGTCCCTTCCACTAGCTTTGTCTAGAATAGGATTTAAAGATGGGGTGTTCCAATGTGTTAGCCACCACATTTTTCAAAAGTCTGTTGTGCACCAGGCAGTGTAGACTTTAATACAAGCAAACCCGATGGAGTTAAAAGCCAAGCTTTCCTCAGGCTTTAACTCAACAAATCTTAGCCCATGTTGAAGGCAATGGGCCTTGTCTACACTAGGCTTTATCAAAAGTGTTAGTAACATGTTCTAACAGTACCCCTTTCATCCTAGTCTAGACAAGGCCACTAAGTGTGAAAAGTAGGGTTTACACTTTGTGGGCCTCGCAGCCAGAAAGCTAAATTTGCATAAATGTCTGGTTGATGCTGCAGCTCGCAACCTTGCAGATGTTTGTTTTCAACTTCTACAGCAAGTTTTTCCTATAAATAGAGTGGTCTTGGGCAGAAGAGCCTACCACCTTTTATGGCCTTTGGGTTCCCGGAAGACTAGAAATATTTTCTAGAGACTTATCTATAGACCATCTTTAGACCACTCTGCCGCCTTTGTGCCTATTTATATGATCTAAAGCATATTCTGAAAAATAAGTTAAGACAATGCTACTTTTTCCTCTAGACTTTTTCCTGATTCAAATACTTTTTCCTGATTCCTGTGGTCTTGAAATATTTGGGGGAAAGAACCATTGGGGAAAATAAAAAATTCACAAAATATTGATGGTCACCTATGATGTTGATAGAGGCATCAAAATTAATTAAAAGTGGCTTGCAAGTTAAAAATTGACAATGATATGACTAAGAACTATTCCATTATAGGTGGTTTAGGTTCCAGTTAAAATGTGCTGGGAACAGTCCTAATGTATTAAATTTTTTAATGTACAGCATCAATAAAGAGAAAAAAATTAAACTATGAACAATTAGTTGACAGTGTCCTTTTGATATCAAAATAAATTTTACAAATGAAATCAATTCACGCTATACAAAACTATGTCCAGTTTGGTAAAGAAAGCCAGAACTGGAATTAAGTGCTGCACTGCCATCTTGTGGTTAAAGCGAAAAACAACAAACATTCACACAACATGAGTTGTTTCAGTAGTGTAAAATGACAACAGGGTGACCAGCGCCATGTTTTGCACCTTCTAAAAGGTTGTTATACTTGTACAGACCAACTTTCCTACATGTTACATATAGCATTTACAGCCCATGTATCTTACTGCTTTTCAGAATCAAATATTTGACCTCGTGTGAAGAGAGATCAAGATAAAGGAGCAATTCACTGACTCATCCTCTTTTTCTTTTGTAGGAAGAAGATTCCACCCCACTGCCTAGGTTGATTATGATATTAGAAGCAGGAGACAGCATTTGCCACCTGAATAGAGAAAAGAGGCTCTGACTCTACTAATTCAAACAGCTACTGCCTGAGAAGATCCACTGGGGTGGGAAGGTGAAGAAAGCCTTTACCTCCCCCAAGGTATCTGGCAAGTCTTGAGGGAAAGCGGAGAAACACTCCCTTCTGCAGCAGACACAAGCCAGTTGCAGACATGTGGGAGAATGAAAAAGCAGCATAGGGCCAGCAGTATGCAGAGAACCTAGCCTTGAGCAAAGCTCTCCCTTTAAAACAGTCATTCATTATTCTCCATGTTGGCCTTTTAACCTGCTGATGTGAGAATGGAGTAAGGAAGCTGCAGTCTCACCTGCTTAAAAAGGTGAGCAAGTCAAATGCCCTGTTGTGAGATGGGCTTCAGTAAGGGGTAACTCCAGCTGCACTGTAAAAAATCCTACCTACCTACCTGCATTCCTATGCCATGGAAAGCTACTAAGCACTTCTCCACTTCTGAATAATTTGTTTTACATCTCCCCAAAAGCTACTACCATTTTTATTCTGAGAAGCAACTTCTGACAACTTTTAAATGTTAATATTGTAACTCCATTTTTTTGAATGCTCATGAAAAAAGAAGTGCTGTCTATGGTTTTGTAAAGCACCAACCACACCGTGGAGTCTAAAAATTACCTTATTAGTTCCAGCTGAGCAAGTTCCTGATTTGCTTGAAATATTGGTTTTTTAGTAAAAAGTTCACCCAGGATACAGCTGTAAAATAAAGTTTTATATAATTCCATCAATATCATTTTATATAAATGTATTTGAGATTTATTTTAGTTCATGATTTACACTTAACACTTTTGTATTAAAACTTCTTACCCACAGCTCCAGACATCTATGGCTGGCGTATATCTTTCCTCTCCAAGCAGAAGTTCAGGAGGCCGGTACCATAAAGTAATAACTTTGTTGGTATATGGTCGACTGAAAAAAAGAAGACAGAGAGATTCAACATTTCTCTTAAAATGAGATTGTAGTGAACTAATAAAAGTTTGAGGTTTCACTACTACAATATTGTTTTATGAATGTTCCATTTTTTCATTCTCTTTTTACCAATACTGAGGCTGCTGCCACTATATAGAAAGTCATTACTTAAATCTACCAAAAGATAGCCTGAAACAGTATCTCAGAAATAAGTAAACATAACCATCTTCATGGGGCATTAAAAATATCATCAGGCTTCAGAGTTAAATACCTATACTGCTATTTAATTGCTATTCATTTTAGCAATAAGACTTTCATTAATATCTCCATCCACTGCTGTTAGGTGCAGTTACTGGCACAAAGGAGTTGGTTGCTGAAGTGCTGAACAAAGCGTTCAACAGTGGGGGGGAAAAATTCAAGTCACCGCTGCCCTTCTCCACAAAGGAGAGAAGCATAGATGCAGCCGTTCCCTACTATCATAAGTTTCAACTGCCTCTTGGGTTTCAAAGCTCCCAGATCTTCCTGGATTCCAACAGCCCTGACTTTACATTCGCAAGCTATCAAAACTTCCAGCTCCCACTGAAAGACTTCTGCAGTGTTTTGAGGCAATCTACTTTAGTTTTATCAGACTGAAAACAAAGTTTGGGGACAATAAAATAATGGAATGTATCAAAATAAAACCGTGCTATTGCCAAATCTATTTCAGTAGAAGTCTCTATTTTTGTATATCCTTAGGAGATGCAATCGAATATTCAGTTTTCGGCAGCCCTTGCCACAGAATACATGGTTGCAGATTGTTATCTTCTGTCACCACACCCCCAATCACCAGTATGATTTTAGCCATTAATATTATGTAACTTGAGGTTTTGTAACATTTTACACAATTTGAAAGCTGAGATTCCAATATTTTAGACAGTGAATAGCAATGTTTCAGTATTAACAGTTTTCAAGACAGCAGCTAATACAACAGAAATTACCTAGCCCAGCTTTCCAGGTATAGTTTTTGGATAACTGAAAAGCACCGTTTCACATCTGTCATCTTTAATAAAGCATTAGGTTTGAATTGCAAATACACATAGGTATAAAGCAATGTATTTGAATAACTTATATGTGTTTAAATAAAATGAAGTTACAAGCAATTTCTGCCTTCCATAGCAGGTGAACATTCCACATTGCAAATGACACCACTGTTATGTTCAGTGCAACTTCCTAATCAACTAAACACACTGATCTACAATGTGGACTTGTTTATGCCCCCTTCAGTAAATACAGGTGATAACCTTACACTAAAACAATCCCCTCTGGTGGCCCCACAAGCATACACACTTTCAACACACACACACTACTGGAAACATTTTCAAAAGTGCCTAAATGGCTTACGCTTAAGTCACTTTTGAAAATGGGACTTCTTGTGGGAAATTTTACTCCACCCTCTACAGATCTGCCAGATTTATTCCAGAAGAGAGTATTATTTTCAGAAGTATTTTGATAGTGAAACTCAGTAACAAAAAAAGTCAAACCTATTAATATTCAATTGTTAAAGATTTCTAGACACTATTTTCTGTTTCAACAGGTATGTTCTTATGTAATATGTCACACCTTCTAGCTGGAAAGTGTTATACATTCAGAAGTGATTTTTTAAAGTTAGATGCACAATTGTGAGCGAAATTACCACAACTCTGAGTGGAAGTTGGGTAAATATGTACAAAAATGGCCATAATTATTCATTTGCATGTACAATTACCCCCTTTGTACACTCAAGATCTATGCATGCATAAGTTAAGCACAGAATTACAAGTGCATACAGCTTATTTTTTAAAAGCTTGCTTTCAGACTTTTCAAATTTTGATAAATGAGATACACAATATATTTCAGTGATTCTAGCATTAAAGTAATGCTTTAAGAAATTTCTTCTGCTGCTTCAAGGTCCCAAATCCTTCTAAATTCTGTTTAATCAGATCAGTAAATCAATTGTCAAAAAATATAGTTCAGTTAGCAACAATGTGGAAAAATTGTTACAGTACAATCCTTAAATGTTCATTAAATCCTACTATTACTGAAGAGAAGACGTACTCAATGAGAGATTGAATCAGGAATGAGATGCCAAAACTGAGCTCACTGGGATCAACATTGCATGTAAAGTTGAAATAAAAGCTTTTGATGATGTTGATTATACGGAGAGGGATTCCACAGGCCCCCAGAATGCACTATAGGCTGGTCCTGTGAATGCTATCAAAAGCCTTCTCAAAAAAAGGCTTACTGGCCTGTAATTGCCAGGATCACCTCTGGAGCCTTTTTAAAAAATTGGCATCACATTAGCTATCCTCCAGTCATCTGGTACAGAAGGTTACATACCACAGCTAGTAGTTCAGCAATTTCACATTTGAGTTCCTTCAGAACTCTTGGGTGAATACCATCTGGTCTGGTGACTTAACGTTTAATTTATCAATTTGCTCCAAAAAGGCAGAATATGCATGTTAATTTATGGAAGCAGGAGTAATATTGAAATGTTTAAGCAGACCACATCCTAACTGTAAATCTGCATCCTTCATCTCCAGTCAGTTTAGACTGAAAATGAAAGTATTAATTGTGATGTCACTAGTCAGAGCTCTTTATTAAAAAAAATAATCTATATCTGTGCTATTACAGCTAATGGAGATTATCCTTTAACTCAAGAAGCAAGCCTCTCTAACAGTTTTTATGATACAATCAGGGAGAAAGAACACCAAATATTTAACTGAAGTTCAAAGTTTGAAAGGAAAGTGCATAAACAGATTCCCATCTCCCCAAAGTTCTTTGTCCATGGTATTCTGGAGAGACTATAGCTTTGGTATTGCAGAAAGAATCCTTGTACTTTTAAAGAACCAGGATGAGAGGCGTTCCTCTTTCCCACTCCATATAATTCATTTACACTTGAGTTTTATGTTTGTGGTTTTACTACCGTGCACACATACCAGGTGACTGACCTCCCTCCCTCTGGGGCTTCACAACTTTTTATGCTAGTTGTTTAGTTAGATGGCCTGACAATTGTTTATCAACATACAGCTATTATACTTTGACATCTCAACTAAAATTGAATTAAAGCATGAATATAACTGCACTATACCAACATAAACCACTGCATAGCTGCACATTACAAACCTTTACTTCTATCATTTCAGATATTTAATCAGAAAAGAGGATGCCATATTAAAAATGTGATTTGACTTAAACTTCCCTCTACAGAAAAAAGCATCCCTAGCTCTAATAATCACAGAGACCTATGCTTTAAATATATATATTTAACAGAACAGAGTTGTCTTACCTCTCCTCTGAGCTATACAGTCGAGCAAGCCCGAAGTCTGCAAGCTTAATCTGCCCTCTGGTGGAAAGAGTAAAGAATTTTTACTGATTAATCTTGTCAACAGATTTAAAAACCAAACAGATGTTTAAAATGCTCTAACACATCTACAGTTAAACTTCAGTAATTCACACTAGTCACCAGGAGAACCATTACAAGTTACTGCATCTTCTCAATTAATAAGTATGCTAACCAATGCAATTTTAAAAAACAAACCATAAGGGATTGTGAAATGATGTATTTCTTTTTGACAAATGCAGATATACACTTCAAAGAATACTAATGAACATTCAGGGTATACTTTATAAAATAATCAACTAATAACACACGACTGTACTTATTATGTTGATAAAACTTTGAAGAGGGGAGACTGTCATTTTTGTACATTTTAAGCCTGGCTTTAGGGCTGTGGAGATTACTAATTCACACTTCAGTAACGTTTTACTCGGTAAATTGGCCTATTTACTGGTAACTGTACGTACATAAAAAATATTAAATCAAGTATTTGCATAGCAAGTGACTATCAGCAATTGCACCTCCTTGTGGGAAGCATACAAAACTAAACACTCCATTTGTATCAAAGGCTAAAGTTGGGATTTTAAGAGTGATAATTCAAAAGGTATAAAGGATGCTGCTACTCAACAGGCAACATACCATGCCAATCTGGAAGGTTGGATGACTTACACTAGAAAGGTTTCAGTGGGTTGTAGCCCATGAAAGCTTATGCTCTAATAAATTTGTTAGTCTCTAAGGTGCCACAAGTACTCCTACACTAGAAAGGACATTCATACATTTCTATAAGGAAAGAAAAGGACATGGTGCTTTCACAAAGTTTGTCTATTTTAAAAAATCCTTTATTTCTAAATGTTATGTACTAAGTTTATTTATATCCCAGGATTTATTTGTATATTTTTATTTATATCCCAGGATATTAGAGAGACGGGGGGCGCGGGGGGGGGGGGATGAGGCAATACCTTTTATTGGACCAACTTCTGTTGGCAGTTCCACACATGCACCGAGGCTTATGTTTATATACATATGTGTGAAACATGGATTATCACTGCACTTGTGAGCAAGAGTATCAGTGTGTACCTAAAATATGTGTTTGAACACACCTGGTTGCATATTCTTTTAAATCGAAACACTGTACTTCTATACTCCCGAAAGATGAGGTCTTCAGTATTATACAATGTGATAGATGAGTCTACGCGCATTTGACTATAAGATCAGATAGTCAAGAAAGCACAGGTCAGAAACTATGCTTTCACATATTCTAATTTAATATGACAAATACAACTAACAAAAATATCCAAACACAAGACCTGGTTGTAATGGGTGCCTTTAACTATCCAGATACCTGTTGGAAAAATAATACAGAAAAACATAAAATGTCCAATTATTGGAATATGTTAGGGGCAACCTGTTTCAGGAGGAGGAAGAAACCAGGGGAAGCAGCCATTTTAGACTTCATTCTGGTGAACAGGGAGAAACTGATTGTGAATCTGAAGGTTGAAGGCAATTTGGGTGAAAGTGATCACAAAAGGATAGCCTTCATGATTCTTAGAAAGGAAGGAATGAGAGCGACTCCAAAAAGGCAGACCAATAAACTCAGAGAATTGGGAGTCAGGGTCCCATAGGAAGACAATCTAAGGGAAAAAGGAGTTCAAAAGAGCTGCAATTTATCAGAGACAAAATATTAAAGGCAAACTATCCCGATGCAAAGGAAAGAAAGGAAGGAAAAAAACCTA